TTTTCAAATAACTGAGATATAAGAGATGAAACGGAGGCACCCTTAAAAACGTTCAATTTACCAATATTGACTCTATGAGTGTAAGGTTAATCGAAGTTTCCGCCCTTCTCCGCTTTATAGAGAGGCGCGCAACACGAATAGTTGCTACGTGTAGAATATCGTTTAGAATTTTTAACATTTGGCGATGTCTGTAGATCTTTTTAAGGAGGCTGATTTTTGCATCTATAATATCGTAAAGATTTAAATAGCATATAAGATTCTATATTCAACTGTTAAATCAGACCATAATATATCGAGCGATAGTGACTAAATGTAAGTTGTTATATTTTCCAATCAATTAGACAGCTAAGAAGTTGGATAGTAAATTTTTCTGTTCCCTGCATAAATAACAATTAGGAGAAATACAGGGTGGCCCAAAAGTCATGTTACCCAAAAAAAATTAAATATCTTCCTTACGGCTCGAGCAAAGAAGCTGATTTTTTTATCAATGATAGAGGCATCTTCAAGCTTTATATCTATAAGAACTGGGTCAGGAAGAACCTATGTTAAGTAGCACCAATGAACTCAACAAAGGAAATTTTACTTTTTCACAAATAGAACAAATAATGTACAGGGTAGGAAATAGTATTTTTTCATGGAGATACAGCTCTAACTACAAATGATATAAAACTGAGCTTTATGGCAAATGAAAGCCCGTTAAAAATGGGATATATGAGTATAGCTGACAATCCATAGGATGACTATGGGCTAGAGAATTATGGAACAGTGGGAGTATGATTCGGGACTTCTGTGGGCAGTCAGCGACAAAAATACAAGGTTCTCAGAAAAAAGATTCGTCTATCCCTCTTTGTAGAGCTCTCTTCACTGATCATTTTGGTGAAAACAAAATTTTAATTTTACTAATAGACGACGATGCTAGAGTTAAGATACTGAAAAAACGCCTTAGCTCTAGCAGATACAGCTGTTTTGGATTTTTAATATTTTGACTCTAGTGTCATTGTTTATTGGTAAAATTTAAATTTTGTTTTTACCAAAATGATCAGCGAAGAGAGCTCTACAAAGAGGGATAAAGGAATCATTTTTTTAAGAACCTTGTATTTTCCTACCCTGGACATTGTTTTTCCTATCTGTGAAAAAGTGAAATTTCCTTTGTTGAGTTCATTAGTGCTACTTAACATGGGTTCTTCCTGACCTTGTTCTTATAGATATAAAGCCTGAAGATGCCTCTATCATTGATAAAAAAATCAGCTTCTTTGCTCGAGCCGTAAGGAAGATATTTAATTTTTTTTGGGTAACATGACTTTTGGTCCACCTGTAGTTTGTTATGGTTTTGTTTATTTACGAATTGAAATTTTAGTTAAAGTTATAATTTAATTCCTTGAGACTAAGAATTTTAAAAAAATTAAAAATCGATATTTTAAAAGTTCATTCAACACGTGACATTGATTAGCTGATGGTTTTCTACAACGATTTTTTTCTTTTTCCGTTGATAGTTTGCTGTTTCAATTCTTTTTTGACTATGGTAGTTAATGTTTCAACAGCTATCTCTTATT